TTCATCAAAATGCCCTTTGAAAGAAAGGCGTTCCATCCCTCCTGTAGACTCTTGGATACTTTCAGAACCCTGGAGTCTGTAAGCATCCAAGCTGTACTGACATTAAATGGGTGACATCTAATTACCCAGGACCTTTCCTTTTGTTGTTTTTCTCTATTTGTTTTTGGTTTTCCTTTAATTTGACACCTCTATTTAACTGGGAGTTGAAAATACTTTTAAATTTGGAAGAATTAAAAGAGAAGAATTCACTCCCGTGTCTCTCTGTTAACTATTCTGCTGCTGCGGAAGGGGAGCTTGGACGCCGAACTTTGTGCACATGATGTCTCAAGAATGAGGCGATGTAGATTTCTTTGATGACTTTTAAATCGATACCATAGAAAAAGTCTTGAATGAGTTTACTGCAGCCAACTGCAGTCTCTGGCTTCAGTTTAGTCTTTAATAACTGACCGTTATGCTGTGCTGGGTTGAGGTCAGGTGTCTGACTTGGCCATTAAAGAATAGCTCACTTTTTTGCCTTGAGAAACTCTTGGGTTGCTTTTGCAGTTTGCTTTGATTCATTTACTCCATGAAACGAAGCTCCGTCAGCATTGAGCTGAATCTGAGCAGAGTATAGCCCCGTACACTTCACAGGTCATCCCAACACTCGTACCAGCAGTCACATTGTCAATAAACACCAGTGGCTGGCCCTGAACTACGGTGAGCCTCATGAACTTTTTCTTTTCTTCTTCCTTTTCTCTTCCCATCATTCTGGTACAAGCTTTTCTTGATTTCATCTGTCCAAAGATTTGTTGTTTCCAGATCTGTGCAGGTTGTTTAACCCAGCCCTCCTGTTCTTGAGTGCAGAGGTTTACATTTAGTTGTAAGAACCTCTGTATTCAAGGCGCCTGTTGATTGTAGACTGTGATAATGATACGTCTACCTCCTCGAGTGCTCTTGACTTGGTTAGATGTTGCAAAGTTGTTTTTCTTACTCATGGAAATAATTCTGTTGTCATCCATGTCAGCTGTCTTCTGTGGTCTTTCAGGCCTTTTGATGATGACCAATGAATTTCTTCTGTTTAAGAATGTATCAGATTGTTGTACAACTGATTGTGGATGTTTGTCATGGAGTAACAGGAGAACAGGCTTCACCTGAAAACTACCTGCCTGTCAAATGTCCAGTTATTTTTAAGACTGAAAATTTGGTGCTGTGGTTCCTCATCAGTAAATGGTTTGGTTTGGTTAAATCCATTGAACTAAAGCTGAAAGTCTTCATTTCAATCAGTCAAATACTGTAAAAATATCTGGTGTATAGCTTGATAACTATGAACTAGGGGTGCAACGATTCATTCACGGTTCGGTTCGATACTTTGGTGTCACGGTTCGATATTTTTTCGATGCAAAAAATGTTCATGCCTTTTTAATTTGTCATTTATTAAAATTATAAATGTATATTTTAACTCAAAAGTACGGTTTTTAAATGTAATGTTGCTGAAACAACAAAATAAAAAATCTATCTGATCGAGAAATCACTCATCTTTAGAAAAGAGAGTTTATTACAGAGAAATGGTTCTTTCCAAAATAAATGCTTGTTGTTTTTGTCTGCTTCCACTTGTCTTTGCACTAGGATGATGTCGGTGTAAATGTGCAGTGATATTCGTTGTGTTCCCACTAGTGCTGTCAGCGTTAATCTCGTTAAAATGACGTTAACGCCATAATGGAGCAAATCGCCGTTAATGAGTTACCGCGGATCGCCCCGTGCGTGGGGCTGGACGGCCTCAACACGTTAACAAGCTAACTGCGCTAATGCACTAGTTCCCACCAATTGAGCATTGCGTGGCAGATCCGACATACTGTTTTACTTTTGTCCATGACGAGCGTACCATCAGGGTCATGCTTCACATGAAGATCAAAATAGTTCCAAAGGCCAGATCTGAATGAGGGTGGGGGAGGTTCAATTTGCCATGTTGCAACGAGCTTAGCTTCTGTCTTGCTAGCTTGCGCTGCGCTCAGTGGATTTGACTCGAAAGTGCAGCCTAGGCGGAGTAGTCGAACGCAGATTCACTGAGCGCTCAACACAGACAGCACCGTCAGAAGAAAAGTTGATAAAATAAATAAAAAATGTTGTATTGGTCGATACATATGCGTACCGAACCGAAAGCACTTTATCGAACGGTTCAATATCGATACGAGCATTGTTGCACCCCTACTATGAACATCAAGGTGCTAATGAAAAAATCAACCTAGTAGTTCACGTTTCAGTATACTCGCTGGCCTATGCTGGTACTGCAAGCTGGTATTTGACTGTGATGGAGTAAATGTGGTGTTAATTGCGAGCGGTGTGTTAACTGTGGACAGATTGAGGCTGACTTGACCGATTTTAACTACATGCTGTATGTATGTATGTAGGCTGATGTTCTGCAAAATATGTGTATCTGTAACCTAGGCG